TATATACACATGGCTTATCTATGATACCTGTTCCTTCTAAAGAGGCCCAGTGCACAACCTGTGTACAGGTGGGGTCTCTTGGGCTGGTCGGTGATTGGGGGAGATTGGGGCTGTCTCACCCAGTCCCGATCGGGCCTATTGGGGGCGGCCAGCCATAGGGAGGGACCATGGGAGTTTGCCCGGCCACGGGAGGTTAGCTGTGGGAGCACACTGACTACCGGGGGGCAGCTCCTGCATTGAGCGTCTGGCCCCTTGTGGTCAGCGCGCATCATAGCGACCAGCCGATGGGTCAACCAGTTGTGTATAGATAGGGCAAGACTATGGATTTGGCTGTAGGATCAGGGTAATTGTGGATACCCTCCAATACCTCTGTCGTCTAGACATTCTTTATTGTATTTGGATTTGTCCCTGACAGCAGCTATCGAGCCTTCAACCCCAGGAAGCAGATGATTACATTCCCCGAGGGAAATGTGGGGACTCTGGATAGTCAGCTGGAAGACCAAAGCAGGGGCAGTGAAATATCTAATGGCTGCCTGTGGTCGATCAGGCGGTTCCCGAGGATTCACAGGTTGCCAGGAGCCAAGCTTCCCTCTGGCCATGTGGCTGTCCCCCTAGTCTGCTGGGTTCCCTAACTCTTACGTCTTTAAGGCTACCTGCCCCCTCTCACATGAGATGGCTTTATTATTGGTGTCATTCATGCTGTTTTCACCAAACCCAAATCCTGTTAGCTGTCTGTCATCTACCTATCATCTATCTATCATCTATCTATCATCTATCTGTCGTCTACCTATCATCTATCTATCATCTATCTATCTATCTACCTATCATCTATCTATCTATCTATCTATCTATCTATCTATATCTATCTATCTATCTATCTATCTCTATCATCTATCTATCTATCTCTATCTATCTATCTATCTATCTATCTATCTCTATCATCTATCTATCTATCTAATCTATCTGTCTATCTCTATCATCTACAATATCTATATCTATCATCTATCATCTATCTATCTATCTATCTCTATCAGCTATCTATCTATCTCTATCATCTATCTATCTATCTAATCTATCTGTCTATCTCTATCATCTATCTATATCTATCATCTATCATCTATCTATCTATCTATCTATCTATCATCTATCTATCTATCTATCATCTCCATCATCTACCCTGTTTCCCAGAAAATAAGACAGTGTCTTATATTAATTTTTTCTCCCAAAGTTGTGCTAGGTCTTATTTTCAGGGGATGTCTTATCTTTCCATGCACTAGGTCTTATTTTCGGAGGATGTCTTATTTTCGGGGAAACATAGTATCTATCTCTATCATCTATCTGTTTATCTCTATCATCTATCTATCTCTATCATCTATCTGTCTATCTCTATCATCTATCTATATCTATCATCTATCTATCTAATCTATCATCTATCTACCATCTATCTTATCTATCTATATCATCTATCTATCTATCTATCATCTATCTATATATCTATATGTATATATATCATCTATCTATATCTATATCTATCTATCTAGCATCTACCTACCTATATCTATCATCTATTATCTATCTATCTAAAACTTTCTGCAACTTCCCAGTTTCTACAATGAACACATTCTGTGTTTACATTGGAAATATATGTAATAAAGGTAGATTACCAAAACACTATGATAAAGGATCATTCAAGGAAACCAAACTCCCCTCCCTGAAGGCCTGGTCACTCCCAACTGCCCTCCCCAACCCCAATCTATATGACCCTCCAGGAGACCCTTAGTCGGAGTCTGGACACTGGGGACCCACAAGCTCCCACCGGTGAGGCCAGAAAGGGGTAAAATCTCTCAAAATAAACCTGGTGGCCTGGGAAGAGTCACCCCTACAGCAGAGACGGGTGGGGAACCATTCCCCAGAGTGTGGGGCGCGGCTACAGCGTTTGGACAGGTTCAAGCCTTGCACTGAGGAGAGGGCACAGTCCTCTCGTGGCCACGTGCACGTCCCAGCCTGGAGGGCAGAGCCCTCCCAGCACCGTGACAGCCAGCAGCCATCATGGTGAGCTTGAACCTGTCGTCGGAACATGTGGCCCCTCGTGCCTGAGTGATATCGGCTGCAAGTGAACAACGCTTGGTCAGGTGCATGTACTTGAGTAGGGTCGAAACCCAGGAGACTGTTGTAAACATCTTGACCATGCTTTTTTATTTATTTATTTATTTGTTTATTTATTATTTATTTATTTATTTATTTATTTGATATACTTTATTGATTTTTTACAGAGAGGAAGGGAGAGGGATAGAGAGCTAGAAACATTAGATAAAGAGAGAGAAACATCCATCAGCTGCCTCCTGAACACCCCCTACTGGGGATGTGCCCACAACCAAGGTCCATGCCCTTGGCCGGAATCGAACCTGGGACCCTTGAGTCCGCAGGCCAAAGGCAGCTGATCAATGTTTCTCTCTCATTGATGTTTCTAACTGTCACTCTCCCTGTAAAAAATCAATAATAATAATAAAAAAAGAACCGACCGTCTCCTCATGACCCGCCCTGATGCTCCTTCCCACAGGACCATCAGAGCTGGGACCAGTCAGACACCACAGGGTGCACTTCCATTTGAATATACACAAGTTCTGAGGACACAGGAGAACAAGGGGCTCTGGCAAATTCCAGGGGACGTGGCTCAATGGAAAGTACACTCTTCTATCTTAAGAGGGGGATTAGGAGGGTGTCAACCACGGGGCATCTCCTTTGTGTCATGGAACCAGGAGCACAACAACCCCAAACTGGGATGGGGCAACCCTCTGCAGTGGCCGGCAGTGACCCCAAAGGCAACCTGGCTGGACATCTCTGGTCATGATGGACGCACGGGCATGCTCAAAAACTAGAGGCCTGGTGCACGAAATTTGTGCACAAGGGGGGTGGGGATAGAGGATGGGGAGGGGGAGGGAGGTGTCCCTCAGCCCAGCCTACACCCTCTCCATTCTGGGACATCCCTCTCACAGTTCAGGATTGCTGGCTCCCAACTGCTTGCCTGCCTGCCTCATCAACCCCCTAACCACTCCCCTGCCAGCCTGATCAACATCTAACTGCTCCCCTGCTAGGCCGATTGCCCCTAACTGCCCTCCCCTGATGGCTTGGTTGCCCCCAACTGTCCTCCCCTGCAGGTATGGTCGCCCCCAACTGTCCTCCCTTGCAGGCCTGGACCCCCCAACTGTCTCCCCTATAGGCCTGGTTGCCCCCAACTGACCTCCCTGGCAGGCCTGATCACCCCCAACTGACCTCCCCTGCCAGCCCTGTCAGCCTTAACTGTTCTCCCCTGCAGGTATAATTGCCTCCAACTGCCCTTCCTTGGAGGCCTAGTCCCCCCCAACTACTCTCCCCTGCAGGCCTGGGTCCCCTCCCCCCCAACTGTCCTCCCCTGCAGGCCTGGTTGCATCCAACTGCCCTCCCCTGCAGGCCTGATCACCCCCAACTGCCCTCCCTTACCAGCCCTGTCACCCTTAACTGTTCTCCCCTGCAGGCATGGTCACTCCCATATGCCCTCCCTTGAAGGCCTGGTCACCCCCAAGTGCCCTTCCCTGCTGGCCCAGTCACCCATGTCCTCCCTTGCCAGCCTGGTGCCCCCCAACTGCCCTCCTCCTGCAAGCCTGGGCCCACCTCACAACTCTCCTCCCCTGAAGGCCTTATCACCCCCAACTGCTCACCCTGCAGGCCTGGTCCCTCCCCCCACAACTGCCCGCCCCTGCAGGCCTGATTATTCACAATTGCCCTCCCCTGTAGGCCTGGTCCCTCCACAACTGCCCTCCCCTGCAGGCCTGATCATTCATAAGTGTCCTCTCCTGCAGGCCTGGTCCCCCCACAACTGCCCGCCCTTTCCAGCCATCTTGTGGCAGCCATCTTGTGTCCACATGGGGGTAGCCATCTTGTGTTGGAGTGACGGCCAATTTGCATATTACTTTTATTAGATAGGGTTACCTCCCAATCAGCCATCTTGTACCCACATGGGGGAGGCCATCTTGTGTGTTGGAGTGATGGTCAATTTGCATATTGCTCTTTTATTAGATAGGAGGACTGCCTCCTAATGAATCTGGAGGAATAACCTGTCAAGTTGCCTGGGATGTTTCTGGGGGTGAGATCAGGTTTAAAACAAGGGAAATGACGCTTCAAGTTAAACACCTTGTCACCTCAGGGAAGACTCAGGGATACAAACTTTAAAGAGATTCTAAACCATATTAAAATTTTTATGTTATAGGATCCTTCTTATTTGAATCTCATATGTAAGTAAGGTTAAAATTTTAAATACTGACTCAAGTGACTGAAATCCACTTGTGGTTAACAAGTGGGGTTTTTTTCTCTATTGTTACAAGTATTATATAAGTTCCTGTTTTCCCCCCAGTGACCCTCTCCAACCGCCCCTCCCGCCTCCCCCCAGGCCTTCAGCACCCCTTGCCTGCATCCATGGGCCGGGCATATCTGCACATGAGGTCTTTGGTTGATTAAATCCCACCCAGCCACCCTCCCCCACCTCCCCTCCGAGATTCCCCACTCTGGTCCATGCTCCATGTTTCTGGTTCCACTCCGTGCATCAGTTTATTGCTTAGATTCCACAGGAGTGCAATCATGTGATCCTTTCTCTGACTGGCTTGTTTCACTTAGCATGATGCTCTCCGGGTCTCTCCATGCTGTCTCAAAGGATAAGAGACCCTTCTTTTTTACTGCTGCATAGTATTTCATAGTGTGAATGTACCACAGCTTTTTTATCCACTCATCTACCAATTAAACAAGATTAAAAATGTTTTAATTGCATAAACATAGTTAAAAATGGGGAATCGTGCATTTGAAAAACCCTTCGAATCGAAATATGCAATACTTAAAACTGAAAGAAGGGTTTTAGGGCAAATGTTATGGCCTAAGAAGGCACTAAGTTTTTGGATTTATAATTTAAAGAACTATATTTAATAATCCCAGACGCTTAAAATGGATAAAAGAAGAGACTGAGAAAGATCTTATTGTTAACTTTATTTTTATTGATACTATTACAGATAGATATAAGAACCACAACCATATTAAATCAAAAACCTGTGCACAGAAACAAGATGGAAAAAACATATCAAGATGTTAACCACACTCTTTGGATGATGGAAATATGGGTGTTATCTCTTCTACATTTCTGCAACTTCCAAGCTTCTATGATGAACACCTTCTGCGTTTACAATGGAAATATATGGAATAAAGGTGGATTACCAAGACACCATGATCAAGATCCTTCAAGGAGACCAAGACAAAACTCTTCACCGTAATCCCACAACCACACCACTATTTCTTAACGACCCTCCACATTTCTTCCCATCTTTGACTCTATGCATACTTATCATTAACGCCCTAACAATCACAGACTGGTGCACAGACAGATGTTAGTAGGAGCTGTTAGGTGCTGGGAATATGGGTGGATTCTTTTCTATTTGATTGAATTCCCCCAAATTCTGAGTATTATATTTGCAATGGGAAAATACATACATAAGATTTAATAGCAAAACACCAAAGATCACCCAAGGGATTTGAGACAGAATATTGAACCATTAATTCCACAACAACAACACTATGTTAATGAATCTCCACGCTTTTTCTCACTGAAGACTGGATGCTTACATGGTCAACATTCACCACACGTTTGTGCACTGGGACAAGATGGAGGAAACAGATCCAGATAGTCAGGTGTTGGGAACATGAGTGATGTTTTTTCTTTTCTAATTTGTTTTTTCTTTTCTAATTGTATCTTCCAATTTTTTTCCTCTGGGTATGTATTATGCTTGTGACAGAGGCATAATAAACTTTTTTTTTTTTTTAATCAGATCACTATTACTAAGGAACATTTGAAAACAAGGGTAATAGAAATCAACTTTGAATACACGTTTCGACACGGTTCTAATCATAAACTGTGCACAGAAATAAGAAACGATATATTAAAGGGTGGATCTGTCTTTGGACGGTGGGAATATGGTCTGTTTTTTTCCTCCACTTTTATTTTCCAGGTATTTGATAATGAGTACCAATTTTGTTCACAATGGAGAGGTGACTATAAACTTTTTAGTAACACTACCGTTAAGAACATCAAGGAATTTAAGAAAAATAATGCTCAACTAGAAGCCTACAACAACAACACAGCAGCTGTTGACTAAAAGCGTACGTTTTTAAACAGTTATAATTGCAGTATAAATATAATTCTGTATCCTGCTTTTTCCACTTAATATTCTGTAAATATATTTCCACGCTACTACATAACTCTGCATGATTATCTTTTTTAAAACAGCTGAGCGAGAATCAGATACGCTCACTTAATTGCTCTATCTTTTGGCATCGAGGTTGTTCCTAAGTTCTCACTAGCACGAGGCTGGAACGGACACCCTGACGTTTGGCGAGTGGCTTTCCGAGAAGGAGCCACCGATGGATGCTGCCAACGGGGAGGAACCCAAGTTCACCCCAGTGTTGGCCATGGCTCCCTTCTCCAGGGCCTTGCTGCTCCCGGATGCCCGTTCCAACCTCCGGCCTTTTTTTTTATGCAGCGGGCCCTCGCCGATGACATGCCCTCCAGATGGCCCCCTTCTAAGCTGCCCAGGCCGCATCCTCAGTGGCCCGGCCTTCCAATCCAGTCCAGATGTTTCCCTCTGTCCGGGTCCTCACCCTGCCAGGTCTGCTGCTGGGTAAGGACTCCCTTCTTTGGCTTACTCCTTCCCCTCTGCGCCCTCAGTCTCGCCACCTCTCTGGACTGGGGCGCTCCCTGCGGATCTGACACCCTCTCCTCTAGCCCTGACCACGCAGATGGAGGAGCGTGAGATCTGGGCACATTTTCCCAAACAAAGTATGGGCATGTTCTTTCTCAAATCATTCTGCTCTTATCCTTTGTTCACTTCTTCATCAGATCCACTTTCGAATTTTTTTTCCCAAATTTTCAAATTATTTTTCCAGTCAACTCAAAGCCGAAAAAAAAAAAGAGAAAAAAAAAAGAAAAAAAAAAAGAAAAAAAAGAAAAATCTCAATAGTCGTGACGCGAGGGGGAGGGGAAGCAAAAGGAGCACGTGGTCCACAGAAGACGACACGGGAACCACGAGCTGTGAGGTCGGTCTGGAACTGATGGGCATCAGACCAACCGGGCACTAATGACGGGTGGCTCCGAAGTCCTGGGGGAGGGGCGAAAGCAGGCAGAACGGCTGGTAACAAAACAAATTAAGGCTGCTGGGAACCTGAGTCCATGTTAAGCTTAGGTTGACTGTAAAGAAAGCTCTTCTTTCAAAAAAAAAAAAAAAAAAGAAAGAAAAGAAAAGAAAAAAAGGAAAAGAAAAGAGGCAGGGGCGGGGGCTGAGGGTCGGGCGGGTGAGGTCAGGAAGGGGGCGGTAAGAGAAAGCTCGGGGTGCGTGCTGCTCCTCATCACTTATGGCAGGAAGCGCGCCCAGAGCAGCGACAGCCGTCACCGGCGCCGCATTCACAGCCCGAGGCTCTGCTCGCGGTTCCGCCCTCGGTAGGCACTGGCGTGATCTAGTGATGGCTGCAGCCCACTCTCTCAAAGGCAAAGCAGCAAGGTGCACGGGGAAAGGCTGGGAGTTTGGGGACTCAGTAGCGCGCACACATTAAGTCGGCTAAACACACACACATGCTCACAGTATGTCTGCATGAGGATCACTGCGAGGTAGTGTGGCAAGGGGTCGACGGGGGTCACAAAGGGTCAATCCACAGGTCGCAAAAGGCTTTACAGCGTCAGGTGCCAAGGAGCTGGTGCAGGCATGATGGCCGAGAAGGAAGCTCAGAGAACGTCTCTTCTCAATCAGCACAGAGGAAAGGCCATGTGTCTTGCATGCCTACACCTTACAGGAGTATTTCAGGGTAAGGGAACAACACAGTTTCTCAAGGAGATACTCAAGGGGTGAAAATAATGCACAAGAAAGCTTTCACAGGAACGAAGGTATCTGGAGTATGGTGCTCATTTCCTCATCCCAAGAAGACGGAAGTGTACCACGGAGGTATCTCTGCACGGTAAACTGTAACTCTGGTGTCGTGAAGTCCAAGTTCCTGTGACCACTGTTGGCTACGATTTGCTATGATATGTACAGCTCAGGAAGAGGACAGGTAGGGCACAGAAGTATTTGGTTGGGGCTATTTCTGTAGTCTCCGGCCGCCTAGGACTGTCCCTCACGCTGACCACTAGGATGAAAGGGAAGGGTGTGCTGTGGCTTCCCCGCATGCGCGCACTGGAGTGTGCCGGGGGAGTTCAGACCAATGGAACCGCCGCCTCCTCCTCGGTTCCTCTCCATCCGGGCTGTTGAGTCAGAGTGTCCGGGCTGAGCTCAGTGTCCTGACGTGTGTGGGTTGCGGTGAGTTCTGGAGGGCAGGTCCTAAGGAAGGGGCGGCTTGCTGACCTCCCCGCTCTCAGCCGGTGTGGGTGTTCTGGTGCCGGGCCAGGGAGAGGCGGTCGTGGAAGAGCTGGCCGCAGACGTCACACTTGAAGGCCTTGTCGTCAGGCTTGTCGCTGCCGTGGGTGCTGGTGCTGGTGCTGGTGCTGGTGCTGGCGCTGGCGCTGGCGTGCCCGGCAGGGTGGGTGCTCTCCCCGAAGCCGTTTCCAGACTCAAAGATGATCACGCGGCCGTGGGTCTGGCGGTGGTCCCCGTAGGCCGAGGTGGTGGTGAAGGTTTCTCCGCATTCCCGGCAGTCGTAGTATGGCTCTTCAACCTGGATCTCTTCGTCGTCATCGTCGTCGTCGTCGTCGTCGTCGTCATCGTCGTCTTCCTCCTCCTCCGGGTCTTGGAATCCTGCGCCATCCGGCTCGTCGGCGTCCTCCTCGGGCTCTTCGGCCTTCCCCTCCAGCTCCTCCCCTCTCTCCTCGGGGTCTTCGATTCCCACGCCGTCCGGCTCGTCGGCATCCCCGTGCGGCTGTTCGGCCTCGCCGTCGGGCTGTTCGGCCTCGCCGTCGGGCTCCGCGGCCTCCCCCTCTGGCCCCTCGGCCTCTCCAGTGGGCTCGGCGGCCTCCACAGTGGGCTCGGCGGCCTCCACTTCCGGCTCCGCGGCCTCCACGTGGGAGCTCTGGATGCGCAGGACTTGGCGAGGAATGAGCACGTTGGCTTCCACCTGCGGGGCGGCTGCCGCTTGCTCCTCCTCCTCGTCCTCGTGGGACTTCTGGTGGCTGGGGAGCACCGTGTTGTGGATGAAGGACTGGCCACAGTCCTTGCACTCGAAGAACGGGGAGACCCCCTTGGGGGGCTCGGTGAGGAACGAGGTGTGCACGAAGGAAGCCCCGTAGTCGTAGGGCTCGGCATCCTTCTCGTGGACCTTCCTGTGCTCCCGCAGGGCGGCCCGGCTGGGGAAGGCCTCTCCGCACACGGCGCACTGGTGGCGCCTCTCCTCCTGGCTTCTCTGCAGCTGGGCGAAGGCCAGGCCCGCGCTGGCGGCCGCGCTGGCGGCCGCGCTGCCCCTCGGGGCCTGCTCCTGGGAGCCCGCTCCCGCGTGGAGGGCCAGGTGCTCGTTGAAGGCGGAGCCGTGGATGAAATCCTGCCCGCACACGTGGCACTGAAGGTACAGGCCTGGGGGACCGGCCTGGGGGGCCCGGAACCTCTGGGGGCTGATGAAGGGGTGCAGGAATGGCTCGCTGTATCTCTGGTGGCCGTAGTAGGGGTCTTGCTCATGCACTTTCTGGTGCTCGAAGAGGAAGGAGCTGTGGACGAAGGACTCGCCGCAGGCCGGGCACTCGAAGAGCTGCTCGCCGGTGTTCTCCCGCTGGTACTCGCTGACGGAGTGGGTGTGGGCGACGGACTGCGCGTACTCGCGCGTGTCCACGAGGTACTCTCTGCCGTGGACTTTCTGGTGGTCCTTCAGGTCGGCCCGGTCTGCGAAGCCCAACCCACAGTCCTTACAGCCGTAGATTGAGTCTTCAGAATCTTCCTCCTCCTCCTCTTCCGGCTCTTCGTACTCTGACCTGCCACGGCCTGCGCCCCGCACGACAGAGCCTCCGTGGAACTCCTCGCAGGCGTAGATTTTCTGATGCGGGCCGAGGGCCTCGGTGGCAGCGAAGCACTGCCCACAGTCCTTGCACCCTGGCACTGGGCGTGGGGCGTAGCTTGTCGGCGCTGGCTGTTCGGCACGGCTCATTCCCATGGGCTGTCGGGGATGGCTCGTCTGTGCCGGCTGTTGGATGGCGCTCCTCCCCCCTGGTTGCAGGGCGTGGATCAGCTCCACTGGCCGCCGACCGTAAGTCTCGACGGGCTCTTGGACATAGCTCATCTCCACCAGGTCTTCGAGGAAACTCTTCTTCCTGGGCTGCTGGATGCAGGTCATGCCTTCCGGCTGCTGGATGCAGGTCATGCCTGGCGGCGGCTGAATGCACGTCATGCCTGGCGGCTGCTGGATGCAGGTCATGCCTGGCGGCGGCTGGATGCAGGTCATGCCTGGCGGCGGTTGAATGCAGGTCATGCCTGGCGGCGGCTGCATGCAGGCCCTGCCTTCTGGCGGCTGCATGCAGGCCCTGCCTTCTGGCTCTTCGGCGTAGCTCTGCACGGGCTCTTTCACGAAACTCATGCCCACTATCTGCTCCAGCAAACTGCTCTGCCCTGGCTGCTGAATGCAGGTCAGGCCCTCTGGCTCCCGATCATAGCCCGCCTGCACGGCCCGGTCGGCGTAGCTGGTCCCGGGCGCGGCGGAGGCCAGGCTGCGGATGACCGAGCGCTCGTAGCCGGCGTTTCCCAGGGGCTTCCTCCGGTGGTGGGTCTTCTGGTGCTCCGCGAGGTCAGCGCTCCGGACAAAGGCTTCCCCGCACTCGGGACACTCGTAGAGCTTCTCGCGGGGGCGGACCGCTTCCGGCTCCCCGAAGGGCAGGGGGTGGACCGCCGAGGGCTCCCAGGCCCCGCGCTCGATGTTCTTCTTCTTGGCGCGAGCCTTCTGGTGCTCAGGGGCGCTGGCGCCCTCCATCTTTACCTCGGCGGCGCCCTCCGCGCCGAGGCTCCTCGGGGCCTCGGCAGCAGACACGCGGCGGATCACAGAGTCCTGGTAGTTGTTGTTCTTGTCCATTTCCTTCGGGCTGGCTCTGAGGAACGTCTTCTGCTGCTTGTCGTTCAGACTGGAGGCCCCTCCCCTCTCGTGCCTTTCCCTTGCGATGGGAACTCTGGGAAGTTTGAAGACGGGCGCGCTGTGGTTGACGGACCTCTCGTCCTTCTTCTCTTCGGAGGTCTCTCCGGCACGGGCTTTCTGCTCGGCGGCGCTGGCGCTGGTAATGGTGGATGTGGCCACCGCTTTCGGTTTGGCAAAAGTGGGCCCCACGGCACCGTAACTTTTCGGGGCTCCAGCAAAGGACAGGCTGAGAATGACAGACCTCTCGTTGAGCTTCCTCCCAAGGAGCTTCACGGACGCCTTCTGGCTGTCGTCGGGGTTGGAGCTGACGGCGAAGGCCCTCTCGTCCTCGTCCGCGGGCGGCCTCGTTATGGTGTGGCTCCGCCGGGACCCGGGGAAGGGCGCGCTGCGGATGACGGAGCTCCCGCAGGCCCCGCCCTCGTAGAGGTGGCTGCGCGGCGGCGCGGCGGGGGGCTCGCCGAAGCGGGGCGGCTGCCCGTAGGCGCCCGCGGCGCCCCGCACGCCGTAGAGCTGCTCCTGCAGGAAGGAGCCCGGGCGCCGCCGCGGGGGCTGCCCGGGGAGGAAGGCCTCCTCGGCCGCCTTGCCCTTGCTCTCACCCGGGCTGGCCCGGGAGTGGGCCTTCTGGTGGTCCTTCAGGGAGGAGCTCTGGCGGAAGGTCTCCCCGCACACCTTGCACGCGTACATCTTCTCCTTGGCCCCCAGGGCGTACATGCGCTGCAGCTCCTGGAAGGCCGGGCCGGGCTTGGGGCCCTCGCCCTCCTTGTCGTCTCTGCCGTGGGCTCTCTGCTGGTGCTCGGCCAGCGCGGAGCTGTGCAGGAAGCTCTCCTTGCACACCTTGCACTCGTAGAACTTGTCCTTCCCGTACATCCTCTGGAGCTCGCTGAAGGTGGGGCTGGGCAGGAAGGGCTCCTCGCTCTCGGCCTTCCCCTCGGCCTGGCGCTCCCGGGCGTGCAGCTGGCAGTGCTCGGCCAGCTCGGCGCTCCTGTGGAAGGCCTCCCCGCACTCCTTGCACTCGTAGCACCTGCCCCGGGCGGCGTTCCTGCGGTTGATGGAAGCGCTGCGGATGAAGGCCTCGCCGTACTCGTAGAGGTTCTCTCTGGTGTGCATGATCTGGTGCTCCACGAACTCGGAGATGACGGCGAACTCCCTCCCGCACTCGTCGCACACGTAGGGCATGGCCGCGAACTCGGGGGGCGGCACCTCGGAGGCGGGGGCGCTGAGGCCGCTCATGCTCAGGGCCTTCCTCATGTCGCTGCACTCAAAGGGCTTCTTCCGCGGGGAGCCCCTCTGCTCCTGCCCTGACCCCTTGGCGTCGGCGTCAAACTGATAGCGCCTCTTTCTCTCCAGAACCCTCTTTTTGGGAACCAGGTTGGGGTTACAATCGAAGGCCCCTCCCCCACAGGCGCTCCCCGCACAGGCGCTCCCGGCACAGGCCCGCTCCTGGATCACGGACTGTCTGTTCAGGTCGAGGTCTGGCCTCCTGGGGAGCCTCAGGAGCCCGTCGCTGGCTTCCCTGGCCCGTCCGGGCGCCGGGTTGCGCGAGGCATCCTGGTTGAACTTTTCCATGATGGCTCCGTGCGAAGGCTCCTCCTCGCAGATCCCACGGCGGTGGGTTGACTTCTTGGCTTCAGGCGTGGCTCCCAGACCTGGAGAGAAACACCGAGGGTGAGTGCCCCCTAGCTCCCGCGCTTGTGCAAAGCGACAGACAGGAGGTCTTCCGTGAAGGCGGTGCAGATACGATTGCTAAAGGCCTATCGGTGCAGCCGGTCCAGGTTTTAACAGACGAGATGCCGTGGGGGTGCACCTCTGCGGACATCATTGGCCTATGGTAACGCTCATTTCCCGTACCTCAGCCCAGAGCCTGAGCACGCTGAGTGAGGACTCACTGTATGTATGTACGTGTGTACGCATGTATGTACGCATGTATGTACGCATGTACGTGTGTGTATTCGTGCCATCTCGCCGATCCGAGTGGCCGCTGCGCATGTCTCCCTAGAGCTTACCTCGGCTGGTGCTGGGGTAGGCACTTCTCTGTGACCGTGAATGGCCTTGTGTCATGTGGGAGTGGCCATCGTCCTCGGCAAGCTGAAGCCCTGTTCACAATGATACGACAGCTCACACTCGAGTTGGGGACCAAGTCTCAGCACCATAAAGTGGTGTCTGCCCTTCGCTGAGCTGCCACACAGGAAGCAGCCCAGATCCAATCCTCTGGACGTTCTGTGCTCGCAGTTTCCCTTCCTCACTACCGTTCCTTAGCTCGTTCTAACCGGGAGGTGGTCCATCCTCCTGACTCCACCTCCACGTTCCTACCGAGGCCTCCCTGTCTCCCTACCTCCACTGCATCCTTTTAGGCTCCGCCTACTTCCTGAGGCCTCTTCCCTGCCTCTCCTGCAAACAGGAGCTCCTCCGGGCTCCCTGCCTCACTCAGGCCTCTGCAGCTCCCTCCGCGGCGCCAGACCCTCGGCGGCAGCCTGCTCCCCCGAGCCAGGCGACTAGGCGGGCACCCGGGAGTCAGCGTCCCGCTCCGAGTGTGTCGCAGCCTCTGCGGTCACCGCCTGGGAGAGGACCGGCGCTGGGCAGTGCCTTCTCCGTGTCCCCCAGAACCAGAGGATTTCTGAACAACAGAAACCTCTTCATTTATGTTTCTGCTTTGAGTGCTTTCAAAGCTTTGATTCCCCCGGACGTCCGGACAGACCACGGTGGGAAGAGGAGAGAGGAGGGGGGCGGGCGCTCTGTGCCTGCAGGGGCAGCGGCTCACCCAGTAAGAGCAGCTTCTGGTAGTTCTCCATGTTGTCCTTGATGGAGTTCTGAGCCTTCCGGTCCTCGGTCAGCTTCACCATGTCCTCGTATGACATCGCGTCCTGAAACAGCAAACACAGACGCTCAGGGTCCCGTCGGAGGGGCGCGCAGCGAGAGCAGGACGCTGGCGACACGGGAGCTACGACATACAAAGGCGGCAGGAGTGCTCACAGCGTTTGGGGTTCTGAGTGGTCCAGGTCAAGGTTAACTAGGGGCCTACTTTGTACCTACCTTGGCGCTATAGTCTGAGGAAGATCCAAAAGACGCATGACACACATTCCTTGCCCTCATGCAGCTTATAATTTGGTTGGAGAGAAAAGACTCGTGAAACAATTAGAGAACAATAAGCAGCAAAGTGGGTACAGACATCAGTGCTAGTGGGCTTAGTGGAGGCACAGGTCGGGGGCTGGAGAGTGAGCCAAGGTTTGTAGAGAGCCTTGGGGGGCATTCGGGGGTGGGCAATATTGTGACACAGAGAGAGGGGGATGCTGGGAAAGCTTCACCAGGCTAACCATCAACTACACATGGCATGTGCGGGGAACAGGAAGAAAGTGTGTTTCAGCAGACATCTGGTCAGGAAGTGTGACAGGCCTCCCACCCCTGCGCACGCGCGCGCACACACGCGCGCACACACACACACACACACACACACGCTTTGCACAACACGGCTACACTGCGGGCTCCTCTGGGCATGTAGGAATTCCAAATAAGCCGGGGAGGCGGAGGGCTTAAGCGCTAAGTGCCTTCCATTCACAGCTGTCTGCTGTGTTCTAATGGGTCCTTTCCTTAGAAAATTTTTAAATTCTCTGTATTACTCAGTCTTCTATACAGAATCTTCCGGAACCTTTTCTCACTGCTGCACCGAACATGGCTGCTCTCAGAGGGCGTGGTCCGGGAGCACAGCACCAGGCTGCGGCGCGCCGAGGGAGGGAGGGGGACCGAGCACAGCACCAGGCTGAGGCGCGCCGAGGGAGGGAGAGGGACCGAGCACAGCACCAGGCTGAGGCGCGCTGAGGGAGGGAGGGGGACCGAGCACAGCACCAGGCTGCGGCGCGCCAAGGGAGGGAGGGGGACCGAGCACAGCACCCGGCTGAGGCGCGCTGAGGGAGAGGGACCGAGCACAGCACCAGGCTGAGGCGCGCCGAGGGAGGGAGGGGGACCGAGCACAGCACCCGGCTGAGGCGCGCCGAGGGAGGGAGGGGGACCGAGCACAGCACCAGGCTGCGGCGCGCTGAGGGAGGGGGACTGAGCACAGCACCAGGCTGAGGCGCGCCGAGGGAGGGGGACCGAGCACAGCACCAGGCTGCGGCGCGCCGAGGGAGGGAGGGGGACCGAGCACAGCACCCGGCTGAGGCGCGCCGAGGGAGGGAGGGGGACCGAGCACAGCACCCGGCTGCGGCGCGCCGAGGGAGGGAGGGGGACCGAGCACAGCACCCGGCTGCGGCGCGCCGAGGGAGGGAGGGGGACCGAGCACAGCACCCGGCTGAGGCGCGCCGAGGGAGGGAGGGGGACCGAGCACAGCACCAGGCTGCGGCGCGCCGAGGGAGGGAGGGGGACCGAGCACAGCACCCGGCTGAGGCGCGCCGAGGGAGGGAGGGGGACCGAGCACAGCACCCGGCTGAGGCGCGCCCAGGGAGGGAGGGGGACCGAGCACAGCACCCGGCTGAGGCGCGCCGAGGGAGGGAGGGGGACCGAGCACAGCACCAGGCTGCGGCGCGCCGAGGGAGGGAGGGGGACCGTCGGGAGCCCACCCGTTTCAGAGCCGTGGGAAGGGAGGGTGGAGGGAGGGCGGTGGCATGTGGAGCCCAGCGGCCTGGGGAACAGGAAGCTCAGGCCTCGGGTTCGTCTGTGAAACGGGGAGAAGGGCCTCGGCCCGCCTGGCCGTGCTGTGGGGGAGGGCAGGCTGCTCTCAGGGGCGTGTGGTTTACACAGGGAAGTGCCTTCTGGAAAGACACTGGTGATGTGGATAGCACACTGCTGGGGGCAGCATGGACGTACAGCTCCCAGCGAGCTCACACACGCCCCGGTCTGACACTGAACCCCAAAGGGCGAACACGCCTCGCTCTGGGTCTGTCCCGTGGCCTCCAGGGAGAAGAGAACCAGAGAAAAGGGGCTGCATGGGGAGGTGCGTCTTTGGGAGACACAGGAGCACAGGCACCGGACTTGGAGGGGAGCGAGCGGCCGTGCCGGGGACGGGCACCAAAACCCGCCGGAGAGGCGGCCAGGAGCCCGCGCCTCTCCGGGGCTGGCGAGAACCTCGCACGAGGTGGCCCGAAGGAGCCGAGGGTCCGGGCCCGAGGGCAGGGCCAAGGGGAGGGCTTTTCCTGTCTGCCTCCATCTGCCCCATGGGACGGTGATAAATGCACGTCACACCCGGACGGCGATGCGCTGTGACAGCAGCTGCTGCTTCGGTGTGGACTGCGCATCAGCACTCGGGGGAGCCTGCAGCGCTCCCTCTGCGTTGTAATCCCCAGTGGGACCCCCAGCTGCAAAACTGCACCCAGTCCCGCAGGAGCGGCTGCTGGGGCGGGGCGGGGCGCAGGCACCACGAGGAGCCCCTGAGCAGGAGGGAGGCCTCTGAGCCCCGGAGGAGCGGTCACTCCGGCCACTGGCCGCTCTGGGGACAGACCTGGGACCCGTCCAGGAGTAGCGGGGGCTCCCGGCCCAGGCGGGGTCTTAGGGGCGCGCGCACACACACACACACACACACACACACACACACACACGCTCTGTGCCAGGACGAGCGCGGGAGCGGACACACACCTGGGACTGCAGCTCGCACTGCATCATGAGGCTGCGGCGGCGGCGCCCTCTCTCCAGGGCCATGTTCCGCTCCATCGTGGCGGGCAGGGAGAGGTCCCGGTGGAACAAGCCTGCGGAGAGCGGCCGTGAGGCAGGGCAGGGCAGGGCAGGGCAGGGCCTGGCCCCTGGTGCGGGCGGCCGGACCGGCTTACCTCTCCGGAGGATCCTGTAGGGCCAGCGCTCCCGCACGGCCAGCTCTCTGCTGCGGGCCCTGCGCTCCCGCTCCCGCAGGCGGGCGCGCTCCCAGGCCCGGCCCCGGTCCCAGGCGCGGTCCCAGGCGCGGTCCCAGGCGCGGTCCCAGGCCTGGTTCCAGGCTTGGTCCCTGTCCCAGGCTCGCTCTCGGTCCCAGTCCTGGTCCCAGTCCCGGTCCCGTTCTCCTGCGAAAGCCAGACACGGGGGTGAGCACAGCGCTGACGTGTCCCCCCAAGCTTACTTCAGAAGCTCCGCCCCTGCAGACACTCCCATCGGTTCCCCAGGCCGTCCAGGGCCAAGTCCACCTCCAGGAAGATGGCCGCCAGCCCCTCGGCCTCCTTACCGAGCCTCTCGGTGTGCACCCTCCCCCGAAGCCACGCTCCTTTAAAAAGGTCACCGAGCAGCCTGGCTGGTGTGACTCCGTGGCCCAGGGCTGACTGTGAACTAGGAGGTCAATCTGATTCTTGATCAGGCCGTATGCCTCCTCCCCCCCCCCACCCCGTTACGGGTTCAACCTCTGGTGTGGGGCGTGGAGGCGGCCGATCAATGACTCCTATCATTGATGTTCCTATCTCCTTCTCCCTTCCCCTCTGAAACCAATAAAAATATATAAAAAACGAGGACTGATTTTTGAAGAATTGTCCACGTTCTCTGAAGGACTTCAGCAGTGAGACAGCGATGGAGCCCCGCCCGCCTGGGCAGGCTGCGGGTGGGGCTTGAACAGCCACTGCCACCTTCCAATGGCAAACGCTGCCACCCCGAAGGTACCCTCCCGCATGCCACTCCGTGGCAGGCCACGTGGGTATAAAAACGCCGATCTGTCATCAGTGAGCCTGCGCCCCCCTCAGATCTCGGAGCAGCCGCGCCTGCCTTGGGGACGGGGACGGGGCGGGGGCGGGCCCCCTCAGGGGCCCCGATGCCACAGTGTACCTTCGGCCATGGCAGCCGCGGCTGCAGCCCGCCCAGTTCGGTACTCAGTGGAGAAATAGGGGGTGCGCGGCGGGCGGAAGTCTGCTCCGTTCCGGTTCATGTTGTCTTCGCCCTGGGCGTCACTGTCGTCTACGAGGACATGGCGCCCGCTTAGTGCCGGCCACCCCCTGCCCACCCTCTCGCGTCCCCCCGTGCCCCACCGCACCCCACCTCCCGGGACCGCCTGGTGGGAACTGGGCTGTGCCCACTCCTGCCTCGCCCCCAGGCCTACCACACCCTCCGGTCTCCAAAAGGGAGCCGGGCCCCGGTTGGTAGCTCAGTGGTTGGAGCTCCAGCCCAAGGACAGAGGAGTCCTGGGTGGGTTCCTGGCCAAGGGCCCGCACAGCTCCGCTGCAGGTTCCCAGCCCAGGAGGGGCCTGTGAGGGAGGCACCCACAGGTGGCTCTGGCTCACGTCCATGTTTCCTCCCCCCGCCCCCCTTCCACTCTAGAAATCTATGGAAAAAATGCCCTCGGGTGGAAGATTAAAAAAAAAAAAGGGAGCCGGGGCCACAGCACGAGACACGTGAGGCTCCTCATGGGCCCTCGCCCTGGGCGTCACCCTCCCTCCCACCTCAGGGGGCGGCTGGTTTGTAGCCCTGTGCTTCTGCTCCCCAGCCCCCCCCCCCATCCCACGCTGGCCGTCCCGGGGAGGGCGTGGCCAGCAGCAGTGGGCGTGGCCAGCAGCAGTGGGCGTGGCCAGCAGCAGTGGGCGTGGCCAGCAGCAGTGGGCGTGGCCAGCAGCAGTGGGCGTGGCCCGCTCCGCCTCACCTTCCGGCTCGTACATCTCCTTGTACAGCTCCAGGAGGGACACGAGCTTCTCGCAGGTCTGCGGCCGCCGGGCCTGCACCCAGGGCCGGATCCTGGCGGGGAGGATGCTCAGGTACTGCTCGAGGACCAGGAGCTCGATGATCTCCTCCTTGGTGTGGATCTCCGGCTGCAACCAGTCGAGGCAGAGGTTTCGGAGTTTGAGCAAGGTCTTGCGGGGCCCTACGTATTCCACATAGAGGAAATTCCGAAACCTCTGGTGAGAAAACTCAGAGTCAGTCGGACTTCCTCCTACGATGGCATGCGGGTCCTGAGCCAGGTCACTGTCTAGCTCGTATGGGTCTGGGGCCCAGGACTTCTTGATTTTGCCGAAGTAAAAGCGCCTTGGCGGCAGCATCTTTCTAGAGAAAGCGGTCAGCTGAGCAACCGAAACGGGTGACGGGAAGAACGCAGCAGCCGTGAAGCCAGTGGGGACCTGCGGAGCGCAAGGAGACACACGTGCCGGGGTGAGGCCCGGCGGCCTGCGGGGGAGGGCGTCAGCACGCCTCTGCAAAAAGGCGGGGGGGGGGGGGCAAGCGGTGCGTCATCCCCACCCCCACCCCCAGAAACACACACACACACACACACACACACACACACACAGGACCCAGGCACAGGCATGCCTCTGGGCACCGCATGCATTGAAGGAGTCAGGTCGCTACTGATGGGCTTTTGTTTTGTTTAAAACAGATATATTTCCATTGATTTCAAAGAGGAAGGGAGAGGGAGAGAGAGAGAAACATCAATGATGAGAATCATTGATCAGCTGCCTCCTGCACGCCCCCTATTGGGGATCAAATCTGAAACCCAGGCCTGTGCCCAAACCAGGAATCAACCCATGACCTCCTGGTTCATAGATGGATGTCCAACCACTGAGCCACACCGGTCAGCACTACTGACTGGTTTTATGATCCTGGGCAATTTACTCTGAGTCTTGGCATCTGCCCAGATTCTGCAAACGAGGAACCAGAGACCACCCCCGTTTGAGGACCATGAAGCTTCCATAAGCCAGAATGGCTGAGAGGCTCACCACCCGCCCTGGCAGGTGTGGCTCTGTGGATAGAGCATTGGCCTGCGGACTAAAGGGTCCCGGGTTCAATTCACAGGCCCGGGTTGTGGGCTTGATCCCAGGGTGGGGCGTGCCGGAGGCAGCTGACCCATGATTCTCTCTCATCATGGATGCTTCTATTGCCTCCGCGTTTGTTGCGTGCTACCCTGGTGTGAAGTGGGCAACACGTGAGAAAATCTCAGGTTGGGGCTGCGTGAACTTATGGGCTTTCCTTCTAGAGAAGAAGAAAACCACGCACGACACACGGTCTTTTAAAAGGGTAGCTGCATGTTTAAAATTAAGCTGCCCAGCGGTGTGGCTCAGTGGTTGAATGCTGACCTATGAACCAGGAGGTCAGGGTTCGATTTTCCATCAGGGCACAAGCCCAGGTTTCTGGCTCATCCCCAGTGTTGGGGCGTGCAGGAGGCATCCAATCAGTGATTCTGTCTCATCATCAATGCTTCTCTCTCTCTCCCCCTCTGAAGTCAATTTAAAAAAATGTATTTTAAAAAAATATTGTTTTGTTTTAATATGTCTAAAGGGGAAAAGGAGTTCCAATCGTTTGGGAGTCAAGGCGGTGGGCGCGGTCCCACGCCCTCCTGCTGTCATGGCTACGCTCTGCTGGAGATGCGCACCAGCATGGTGCCCGCCCGGCCCCTGCGGCCCCGCCCTCCTGGAGGAGGGGTGGCAGCGCCAAAGGCACTGGAAGCAGCGGACAGCAAGTGTCCTGGCTGAGCACTGGCTCAGAGGGCGGCCTCGGCGAGGGCGGAGGCCTCCGGGAGGGGGAAGAGCACGGAGCCCTGCCCGCCGGAGACAAAACCGGGTCCCCGACAAGATCCAGCCCAGCCTCTCAGGGACAGCGGGACCCGCTCAGGCATGCAAGTCACCTGTTGGGACAGATCCTCTCTGGAACTTCCGAACAAGCCACTACGCACAGGAACAGTCAAAATGCCAGCGACCTGCAGACATTTCACAGGAAGAGATACAAGACGAGTGACCAAGGAAGAAACGTAAAAAAAAAAAGTGCCCAAGACCCATCCTCCAAATGGTCATTGGGGGTGAGGTCTTTTCCATCGCCTTCAACAAAAGACCATTTACTGTGTCACATGCACCCACTGGGAGAAGGAAACAGAACACCTTTGGGTTTTTCTCTGTGAAACCAGGCGAAGGTTAGCACTAACGCACTCCGACCACTCGCTCAAGGAAAGAGGCGTGAAGACTGAACACTGTCCTCACTGAACATCGTTCTAGAGTGTGAGCTAATTACAAAGAAACACATCTAAGGCATAAAGAAAGGTGTAAAACTGTCATTCTCTTACGAACCAATTGGGGGATGTTATAACTTAATAAGGAAATAACTTATAACAGACTCCTTAAATATGTGTCAACAATCCTTTTTCTAAGTGGGAGGAGCTCCAATATGAAAAAACAGCACCTCCATAAATGAAGCTACAATAAACCAGAGGCACCTCCCCAAATTAAAGTATATCATCTCATGGAATTTCCAAGCATGCTGGTGGGAACTGCACAGCGGCTCTACTGTAACCTGGAAGAATTCCATTTAGAGCAATATTCTGAGGATTTGTTATGTCAAAAGGCCAACAAGCCAAACAGGACATTTAAGAAATATATATATTTTCTGTTCTGGACACTCTTGTAGAGCAGGCGTATGTCGTAAATCGCCGTAAACGCAGTGAGCAGTAACACGTCTTACTGCGACTCTTCAAGAGAGGGGCGTAAAGGTTAGTGCTTTACAAGTGTATTTGACCATGGGATTCTTTTATTTTATTTTTTCCATCACCAAGAAATAGTTGGATAAGTCTTGGGGTAAGAAAGTTATTTTACAGTATGATGCCTAAAGGCAGAAAGATGACATGGAAATAAGAAGTGATGGTCTTGCCTACACCAAAAAGCCAAAGAAAGAAAAAATCAAAAGAAAATCACTTGCAATTTATGACAGGAAGGCTGACCCATTTAAGAATCATAATAAGTTAACTATACATAGTTGAGTAGGCAGTAGTCTATGGAAATGGCACTGGAACATAGTAAGGGATATGTAGATTTTTTTTCAATAAGTAGGAAAAGGAAAACTAGCCAATCATTAATTTGAGGTGGGAGATCATACCATATATGAAAATGCTGAATCTAAAATAAAAATGAAATAAAATTTTTATCACCTAGGAGCAGGAAAAGGTGTTTTTTTAGACTGAACTTATTAATTTTTTTTTAAATTTTTAAATTTTCATCTTAGTCAATTGATTGGGGTGACATTGATCAATATTAATATTCTAGAGGCCCGGTGCATGGATTTGTGCACCAGTGAGGTCCCTTGGCTGGCTTGCATGGGTCGGGCCGAAACCGGCTCTCCAACACCCCCCGAGGGGGTCCCAGATGGTGGAAGGGTGGTCATGGGTGATACACCCTAAAATCGGGCTTCCTCCCCCTGGTCCAGAGTGCATCGCTCGATAACCACAGCTGCCAAGTAACAGCAGCTCAGCAGCTCCTGCACTGAGTGCCCTGCCCCCTGGTGGTCACTGCGTGTCATAGCTACCGGTCTGAGCATCTGCCCCCTGGTGGTCAGTGCGCATAATGACTGCTTAGCCTTTTATATAGATATAGATATTGAAGGTATATAGATATAGATATAGACACCAGTATGAGTGTCTGCCCCCTGGTGGTCTGTGCACATCATGACCACTTAGCCTTTTATACATATAGATACCAGTCTGAGCTTCTGCCCCCTGGTGGTCAGTGAGCATCATGGTCACTTAGCCTTATATATACAAATAAACTAGAAGCTCAGTGCATGAAATTCATGCATCGGGGGGCCCTCAGCCCAGCCTGTGCCCTCTCACAATCTGGGACCCCTGGGGGGATGTCCTACTGACAGCTTAGGCCTGCTCCCCGGGAGCAGTCAGACATCAGCTTGCCGTGGAGGCGGGATAGTGCACTTACCCACTGCCGTGACCCTAAATCCAAGCCACCACCTTTCCCTCAGACCTGAGGGTGGCCTCCTGGCACCCACCGTTTCAACCTTCCCCTTCTGAACCCTGCAACCAGATGACATGTTAAACACAAGAATCTGATCATTGTGTTCCTGCCCCGGTTCGAGGTCGCAGTGGCTTCCTGTGGGCTGCAGCTCCAGCCACGTGCTCACCTGTCCCCCACGTCCATCCAACGCCGACCGAGTCCTTCCTTCGCTCCAGGAGTGCTGGGCTGTGGGCTCCTCTCCCGTTCCCTCAGAAACGCCCACGTCTCCTCTCCCAACACCCCCCTCCCACACTCCCGCCCGCCGCCCTTCAGGGCTCAACCTGCATGCCCCCGGCTCCCTCCGGGAGGCCCTACACGGCCTCCGGGTTAAGGCAGCTGCCCACGGCGAGTGCCTGAGTCTCAGCATCACGTGCTCAATGCCTTTCGTTACTTAACACGCTGTGAGCGCCAGGGACACACCTGCTTTCCCCGGGGGCAGGTTTGTGGTGACTAGGGACTCGTGCTTCTTCAATTGCCCAGCGAGAGAGAAAGAGGAGGCGCGAGGGGGTAGCTGATGGTGGGAAGAGTGAGGGTACCACAAAGCGTGGCTCGAGGCCAGGCAGAATGTCCAGCGAACACGGGACCTACCAGGAGTGTGTGTGTGTGTGTGTGTGTGTGTGTGTGTGTGTGTGTGTTTTCTGAGAGCACTAAGGGTGCTGCGGCCGTGCGGGTGGGCCACGGGTGCGAGGAGGAGGAAGGGGGTGGCGCCACCCGGCGAGAAGTCAAGTTCGCTCACCTGGACTCGGCCACCTGGCGCTGGGATTAGCCAGCCGTCTGGGAAGAGGGCAGAAGATGGAGAAGGCAGAACTGGGGAAGGAAAGGAAAACATGAGCCGTCATGTGGGCTTTGCCATGACCAGGTTCCTCCTGAGGGGGGGAGGGTGGTGACGGCATCAGCAGCCCCTTCCTCTCGGGCACTCACAGGGCTCAGGGGAGACCAGGACAGCCCTCCCGGGTGGCAGGGCCACATGCTCTTGGGGCCCTGGCTGTCCCCTGGGCTGTCAACTTCAGAAGCCCGCCTACTGGCTGGATGGCACTGCCACTCGCTGCAGGCAAAGGCCGTGGGGCGGGGGGGGCACGTGGCTGAGAAGGCACGGTTATTCACTGCCAATGACAGGCCAGGGACTGGGTGTGGCACCTCACTTTTATTGTCTCTTGTTGACCCTCACCACGTGCTCTCGCCTCATAGAAAAGCAGAGGCCCTGAGGACTCAATCTCAGAGCTCATGGCCAACTATTACAGATCAGACTTTGGGGGTAAAAAATCGACTTTTGTTTCCCATGCACACCACGTGGGATAATGGCGTGGGTGCCCCTCAGAGAAGGGAGGTGAGGCTCCGGTGCTGCCATTTAATGGCTGGCGATGCAGGGCCGGACCCTGAGCTCCACCGCGTGTATGTAAGTGACGGGAAGCGCCCAGCTCCCATAGACCCTTGTTGCTATGGTCACATTATGCTGGGGCAGTGCTATCATCAGCGAATCTTACAGAGCCTTGCCTTGCTCCCGGTGGGCTCTGCTAACGCTATCACTAGCGGGTGTAAGCTTAAAAAAAAAAAAAAAAAAAAAAAAACTTTGGGGAGGGAGGGCATGTATGGAAGTGGGGGGGCAACGGTAGGATATGTACACATATAATACCTTAATAAAAAAAATTTAAAAATAAATAAATAAAAAACTCAGCCCGGGAAGCGGGTCCTGCAGCAAGTGCCACACCGCATATGGCTGTGCGCATGCGTGGCCGCTGCCCGCCCGAGGCTGCCCTCCCAGCAGGAAACCCCGCCCCATGCGGATAGGCCCCGCCCCCGCCCGCCCCCCACCTCCCTACCCCGCCCCCACCTCCCTACCCCGCCCCCAGGCCCGCCCCCCACCTCCCTACCCCGCCCCCAGGCCCGCCCCCAGCAGAGCCGCCTCCCGCCCTCCGCCCCCGCCCCCTGGTGGCCATCCTCGCGCCACAGTCCCGCCCCTGCAGGCCCGCCCCTGCCTGCCCCCACCTCCCTACCCCGCCCCCCGCCTCTCATGCCCGCCTCGGCCCGCCCCCAGGCCCGCCTCCAGCAGAGCCGCCTCCCGCCCTCCGCCCCCTGGTGGCCATCCTCGTGCCAGTCCTGCCCCTGCAGGCCCGACCCTTCCCGCGAGGCCTGCCCGGGCCCTCGGGCCCCCACACGCCGCCGCCTCCGTTCTCTCCTAAGTGACCCCCAGAACTGTGAGGTGAACCTGGCCCCCCACTTCTGGCGCGGCTCTGGCGCCCCTCAGAGGGAGCAAGGCTCTTGCCGCCATGACGCGCGGCCACGTAAGATGGCGCCACTGCGGCGAGCGCGCTGCTGGCCGCTCTGCGCCTGCGCAGCAGGGACCGCGGAGGCGGCTCGGAGCCTGCAGCCGCCCCCCCCCGCCCCCCGCCCGCAGCCCCTCCGCCCTACCGCCCTCCGAAGGGCGCCTTGTGCAGTAAGCCTTGGCTGCGGCCTCCGGGCTGCCCCCAAAGCCCCGCCATCCCTCAGGAGAGGGCTGTTCTGGAAGCCTCTGGCCGCCAGCGGACAGGGCCAGGGCGGGCCGGGGTCTGCAGCGCCACCTGTCACTCAGGACAGCGCGGCCCCGCCCTCGCCCCGCCCCCGCGGCCCGCCCCACCGCCACTCAAGATGGCGCTTGCGCAGATGGCCTGGCGGACGTGGTGCTGGTGGGCGGGGCTCCCCAGGCCCTCCCAAGCCCCGCCCCTGCAGCGTACCTCATTTATTCATCACGGGGCGGGGCCGGCCCACCCTGGGCTCCACCCCGGCTGGGCCACTAGATGGCGTACGCGCAGTCAGCCTCTTAAGGGCCAACGGGCACCGCAAGATGGGTTGGGTCTGCGCCTCCCACCATCCGTCACTCAAAATACGTCACCCTCTCAGGCCCGCCCTCTGCAGCCCCGCTGTCATTCAAGATGGCGCCTGCGCAGTAAGCCTCATCGGCCACCTGTCGGCCCCCAGAGCGCGGGAGCGCGCAGGACTGCAGCCCCCACCCGTCACTCAAAACACGCAGCCCCGCCTCGGGCTCCGCCCCTGCAGCCAGCCACGCTGTCACTCAAGATGGTGCCTGCGCAGTCTGCCTCAGCGGACACCTGTGGGCCAGCATAGCGCCAGAGGAGGTGGGCTAAGGAGCCCCGCCCTCGGGCCCGCCCCTGCAGCCTGCCCTCCTGCCATTCATGAAGGCACCTGAGCAAAAGGCTTCCACCTATCAGACAACTTACAGGGCTGCAGGGCACCGGTCCCGAACGATCACAGAGCCACCTGTGCGATGCCCCTCGGCTGCTCCCCCACCGCTACACCCCCAGCCAGAAAATGCAGCCAGACACACCCCAGGGTAAACACAGCCCTGAAAAGTCTACCAGGGCCGCGGTGAGCCTCAGAAGCTCGCCCTCCTCACACATGGGCATACAGACAGCCTGTATCCCTGTCGCTCCAGACAGACGGTTCCATGGCGGCAACAGCCATGGCAAACTGCAGACACTGTGCCTGCGCACCAGATGCCACACGGGCTCCGCCGACAAATCGGACACTATCCTTGGCTCTATCTGAGTCAGAGCTCAGACCCCATCCTAGTCAGGCTGGGACCGTCACAGCCAGAAAGGTACTAGACAGGCAGGACCCGCGCAGCCTTTCACCGCTGCAGCCGCCACAGCCCGCGGCCCCGGCCCTGCGGCCAGCCAGCAACACTGCGCCTGCGCGGCAAACCTCAGCTGCCCCCATCAAAGATGGCGCCGTGGTGGGCGGGGCCCCGAGGCCGTCAGAGCCCACAGTGGCTGTGACGACAGCCCTCGGCCCCGCCCCAATCTGCAGTTAACCAATCAGGATAGCGCCTGCCCCCAATCTGCCGCTAACCAATCAGCACAGCGCCTGCCCAGCAAGTCGCCTATAGCGATCATGTTGCCATGGCAGGTGGGGGCGCCAGCCCGACGCCGTCACAAGAACAGAACCCGCTGGCGTCACAGCGTTTGGACCGCCTCCTGCAGCCCTTAGCTCCTCCCACGGCCACTGCGGCAAATCGAGCTCCGCCCCTAAACGCTGCAAGGATGCGAGGCGGCCCCAGAGCAGGGACCGCCTGGGATGAGGGTCCAGCCCCGCAGCCCGCAGCCCGGGAAAGCGGGCGGACCCAGAGACCTCGCCACCCACTCGGCAGCGACCGGCCGCCGCCTGGACGCCCACCCGGGCAGGCTGGCCGTGACAGGAGCCCGTCAGCACCGCAGCCATCGCGTGCCTGTCCCCCACCTATATCGCGGCAACCCGCCGCCTCCCTCCTGTCCCCCACCTACATCGCGGCAACACAGAGCGGCCATCCCCCCCGCTCCCGCTGTCCGCGCTTATATCGCGGCCATCCCCCCCGCTCCTGTCTGCGGCCGCTTATATCGCGGCAAACCCCCCGCTCCGCCTGTGGCCGCTTATATCGCGGCAAACCCCCCGCTCCGCCTGTGGCCGCTTATATCGCGGCCATCCCCCCGCTCCTGTCTGCGGCCGCTTATATCGCGGCAAACCCCCCGCTCCGCCTGTGGCCGCTTATATCGCGGCAAACCCCCCGCCCCGCCTGTGGCCGCTTATATCGCGGCAAACCCCCCGCTCCGCCTGTGGCCGCTTATATCGCGGCAAACCCCCCGCTCCGCCTGTGGCCGCCTGCATCGCCGCAACATAGCGCGGCATCCCTGACCCCGCGCCGCTTGCGCCGGGCGGCCGGCCGCACCAGCTGGCGCCGCCGCGGACCCCCGCCCGCCCGCCGAGGGCTCGGCTCCGGCGGCGGGACCCGGCGGCGGGCGTGGGCGGGCGGACTCACCTCGCCGCCCCGCGCCGCAGGCGCAGCCGCCGGCCGCACGGCCAGCGAGGCGCAGCCGCACCGGCTAGCGCACCCGCACGGTCCCGTGTGCCCGCAGGCGCCACCAGCCCCGGGTGGACATGTCCGCTCCTCCGCTCCGACCAGGTCCTCCGGCTCCGCGTCTGCGGCGGGCGCTGCCCGCTCTACTTGTGCGGCTCTCCGCAGGGGCGGGGCCGGCGCCGGCCAATCGGCGCCGCGCGCCACCCGGGCGCCCCCCGCGGCGCCCCCGGGCGCTGCCAATCAGCGCGCCGTTGCCGAGGCTACCGCTTGGCGCCAGGGCCGCAGGCTGACGTCAACTGAGCCCACGCGAGGGGCCCAGACAGGGGTCTGGAGGAGGGTGGGGGGGTGGGGGGGGGGGGGGGGGGGGCTGCGCGCCCCCGACACAAAGAAACGGGGTGCAGAGAAACCCACTGACGCCTCCCGAATGCGCCACTGCCGCGGAGAGAAAACCCGGCGGCGGCGGGGTGGGGGGATCACGTATATTTGTCCAAAAATGTAAATCCGAAAACACGCACACACACACACACACACATGTATGTTGGGCTGTGAAGACAGGCGAGCGGGAGCCAGGGCTGCTGTCTGAGACACACGGCAGGCATGCGGGGCTCACGTGTGCGTCCGTGAGCGCCCTGGACCCCGGACACAGACCCCCGCGCCGGGGGACCGGGGACCGCCGTCCGCAGAACATGCCCGCGGCCGCGGCGCTCCCAGGCAGCACCCCGAGCGGAGCCCGCGGAGCCCGCGGAGCGCCGGCCGGAGCCCGCGGCGGGGCCCGCGGCGGCGCGGCGCTGGCAGGTGGCGGCGGGGCGCGGCGGGACCGGGCGCCCCGGGGCCGGGACAGAGGCGGCGGCGGCGCACGCACAGGCGGACCCGAGCCGGTGAGTGTTTCCGTTCGGCTGTGAGCATGCACCCCGCGCCGCGGGCACACCTGTGGAAAGGGCGCCGGGACCGGGGACCGGGGACCGCTGACCGGCCACCCACCGCGGGGACGGGGATGGGGTGCGGGGAGGAGGGGACGAAGGACGGGTTTTCCCCTCGCCGCCCCGTCCCGCTGGCGCGTCCCCGCCAGAATGCGCATTTCTGTCCTAGCGGGAACATCGGGAACATCGATGAATTAGAAAAGCCGTTCATGTGGCCTCCGAGCCCAGCGATTCGCTTTCAAGGAACGAAGCGGAGGGAAGCGGGCGGGGACTGGGCTTCTCCGCAGCCTGTTCCCGGGCACGTTTATGGGGAGATGTGCGGGCAGGGGAGCCGAACATGTCCGTGGATCACGCTGCAATGTGGTGCGGCCGGTGCGGATTTTAAAGCGGATTTTTTTTTTTTTTCATTAGACCGTTATTTACCAAAAGCAGGTCCCTGACAGCACGCGGAACGGAGCCCCGGTTACGGTGTGCGTTAGTGAGTTTGGGGTAAACAGTCGGATCTCTGCCTGGCACGGACAGGATGGCAGTGGCTGCTTGCCGCATTGGGATGCTCCTGGCTGGGGCGGCGGGGACCCACACTCGGGCCTCCCAGGGTCTCCTCTCACCGCAGTGCCCCCCCCCCCCCAGGTTTGAGGCGCCCCTAAAGGGGCTGCGGCACCGCCCCTCACGGCAGAGGTGTCCGAGTCTGGCCGCGCGGCTGGGTAATCTGGGGGCGCTGGTCCCTGTCCGTGCCCCGGGCCCCCGGGCGTGTGTCTGCGCTCCCGAGGGACACGAGCCGAGGTCTGGCTGCGGTTTTGGGGTGATTCAGCACATTTTCACATTCTCTAGCCCCCTCCTCTCCTCTGCACAGGCGGCTCCCTGCCACCCGGTCCCTTCGGACCCTCGCCATCAGACGCCGCGCGTCCTCAGGCTCCTGCAGCTGCCCCCCCTGCTCAGCAGTGTGTGTGTGTGTGTGTCTCCCCCACGGACAGCCTCTCGGGAATCCGTCCCGGGCTCCAGGCTGCGGGCACATCCCCCCGCCGCGTCAGCGCTTCGCGCCCTGCCGCCCGCAGCAGCCGCAGCAATCCTGTGAGGCCGAGACCCGCTCTTCCTCGTCCAGATCTTTCCGTCCTCGTGAGGACGACCGTACGCACATCGGGCTCGCTCTCTCCCCCGTGACGCCAGCGCCCGCTCTGCCCGCGCGCCCCGCCTGTTCCAGGTGCCCGGCCGGACAGCGCGCCCGCAGCGCGGTCCTGGGACCCTCGGTGCCCCTCCCGGCCGGCCGCCGGCGGTGTGGTCCGGACCCGTCCGCAGCTCCCAAACCTAACCTCCCGCCGCCGGACCCCGAGCCAGGCTCAGTCCACCCCGGCCCTCAGGACGGCCACCGGAGCCTGGCGGGCGCCGCAGAGCACTGCACACCAGCCAGAACCCTTCCCGTTCCTACAAAGGGCGCCTCACAGCTGTTCCCAATTCACCCCCTTCCTGCCGCCGTCTCCGGCCACGGCCGCCGGCCCGGCTCCCCTCGGCGGGACCGTCCTGACCTACATCCCCCCCCCCCAATCCTCTCTGAACAGCATCGGGGAGACTGTCTTTAAAGGCGGGTGAAAGGCCGTGTTCCGACGTGAATCCCGCCTGCCCCCGCCCCGTCACACGTCCACGCGTGTCCAAGCCCACGCCACAAACACGGCTGGAGGAAAGCCCCCGCACGGCCACGGGCGAGGCGAAGCGCTGGTGCTGGCCTCTCGCCCCTGCTCCCGCCAGCAGCCTCCCCTCGGAAGCCGGGAGAGTCTGGGC